GACTACTGGACTGCATGAGGGGATAGCGATGCATGCGGAAAGATAGCGTTGTGCGCGCTTGCTCTTTGGTTTCATGACGGGATCACTTCGTGTGACAACACTGGATCGAGAGATACTTGTAGGAAGTTTTCCTAACAACGGTGTTGTTCATGTAGTAGTCCTCGAGCTCCTCCCACCGCTGTTCCCTGGCCATCTCGATAGCAAGGCACCCCTTGGATGTCTTGACCGGCATCCCGTTTGCGATGAGCAGGTTGTCCAGGGAGAAGGTGACATTTCGGAGCTTCTTCCATGGTCACCTAGTAGTCGAATGAAGGACCGTACCGTTTGGCGGGCCAAGGGCCGCAGCAAGAGTCATGCGCGCCGCGGCCGGTCAGGCTCGAAGTTTAGTAGCCGCATGCCAAGTTTGCCACATGCCATCCCACTACATGCGGCGCTCAGTTGAGGGCCTGGCACGGCCCGTTGCCACGGCGAATCACTGAGTCAGGATCGCATTCATGATGTGGCGACCAAGGCTGGCCGAACCGTCTGCGGCCGCCGGGCCGACGGCCAGCCCGGGCAATCACTGGCCGGTATCGTACGGCTGGGCAGTCGCGCGGGCTAAGCCTGCCGGGCTCAGAGGTCGTCGGGATCATCGTCGATGGAGATAGAGATGGCTTCCTTGGCTCTGACCGTGATGTTCCGCATGGCGCTCAGCATCTCCCTCGCTTGCTGCGCATCCTTCTCGTAGTCCTCCTTCCTCGTCTGATGCGCCTCCAGGCGTCGCGTCAGCGTCGTCGTGAGTGTGTGCAGAGTCGACTCAAAGCCTTCAGTGCTCTCTTTGCCTTCCGCCGACGCAGGAGATTGTAGTTGCTCCCGCTGCCTCTCTGCGAGCTGCAGTCGCGGTTTCACCATGCCTTGCATCTTATGCACCTCACCCTCCTTCCACTTGAGAGTATTCTTGTTGGTCTCCTCCCACGACAGCACCACCTGCTTCTTGATTTCCTTCTCGTACCCCCACGCCCCGCTGAAGACCTTCCTGCCCAGCCAAGCGAGGGCTCCCTGAGACTCATTCAGCACGGGTTTGACCGTTCGCTCGCACTTGATCAGATGCCTCAGCATGCCGGTGAGAGGGAGTAGCAGAGGCTCATCGAACGTGTCCTTAGACAAGCCCAGGCCCCCCCCTCCCTCTCCTACGTTGGCGTACGCGTCCAGAGAAATCTTCATGTCTTTCGCGAGGAACTGCATCATGGTCCTGTGAGACTCCAGCCTCTCGTTGAGACTCTCAGCAAATGTCTTGTTGGCCTGCTGTACCTCGTCGTAGAGAAGCGTAGCCTTGCCATTGAGGGCAACGATGACTTCCTTGACCTTGACCTCCTTGCTCGCCTCGTCATCGAACACCAGGTCTTGCTCATGGAAGGTCTCTTGCAGGATTTCATCCACCGCTGCCTTGAACGTGTCGCACGATCGCTCGGTGCAAGCTTGACACTCATGAATCATCTTGGAGATGTCGTCGCTGAGAGACTTGTTGGCACCTGTGAGCCGTTTGATCGTCTCTTGTATGTCCGAGAGGATTTTCTCCGTCTCCTCCTTGTTCTGGGTCACTTTGTTGGCTCGCAGAGCAATGAAGACCTCAAGGTCCTTATTCGTTTGTTCCAGCTTGAAATTCGCTGCATGCAAGGCGTTGTCACCGTTCGGAGAGCAGCACTGAAGGAGGTTCTGCTTGAAGGCAGGCCAGTGCGATGAGTTGACGATCTCGTTTGCACGCTCCTCCAGGTTCTTGTCCGTCAGTTGTTCCTGACTGGGCAGGATACCAAACGCGAACTTGGAGAATGTGCGGAACCACTCCTGTTCCCTGAAGTGCGGGGAGCGAAGTCTTACCGCGTCAAGAGTCCGCATGGCGAGACAAGCAAGACGAGCAGAACCAAGCACAATCTTGTCTCGGTCCTCGATCATCATCGAAGCAGCCACTCGCTCTTTCACTTCCTCCTCGTCCATCCCACGGTCATCCTTCTCATCGTACTTGTTGACAAACACAAGAAGTCGGTTCTTCATGATGTGCGGGTCAAACTCGTTCGTCTGCAGGATGTCCTCGTACATCTCCTGAGCGGCAGCACTTCCGATTTGCGTATAGTCCACCACCAGGATCACTGACGTCGACATGTTCAGCTGCTGCTTGATCATCTCCCTGAACTCGCTCCTGTTGCTCTCGTTAGGGCCAGGAAGGTCCAGCAGCGTCAGCCGATGGCTTTTGCTTGCTACTGGCCAGTTGTCGAACGTGGTCTCAATGACAGGGAGGTTGTCGAGTCGAACGAGGAAGTGCCAAGGGAGATCGAGCTTGGCAGCAAGGCACTCCCGCACAAACCAGTTCACACATGACATGTACTTGTACACCTCTGGCAACGAAGTGCACGCCGCAAGGTCGATGGTAGTAGAGGCACGCTTCCAGCACTCTCGCAGGAATTCCAGGTTCTGATCCATTTCCGCGCTCCTGGGCTCTCTCTCTATCGACACGAACTTTTCCAGCAGATCCAACCACAGGTCAGAGTTCTGAACTTTGATAACCGTCTCTCCCCGATCGGATTGCCGTATGAGCACAGGGAAAGCTGTCTCCGCACAGTTGCGGTGTGGCAGTAGCTCTTTGCCGACAATCATGTTGATCGTTGAAGACTTGCCAGCCTTCATCGTTCCTGTAACTGTGAATAGATCTCCGCCGATGCTCAGTTTTAGCTTCTCATTCTCAAGCCTTTCATCGCACATCTTCTTCTGACCTGCTTCGATAAAACCTTGATCTATCATCGTCTTGATCAGTCTCAGGTAGTCATTCAGTGACGACAACAAAGTTCTTGTATTGTCATCCAGGTTTTGCTTGAGTAGAAATGGCTTGCCGATGTTGGTAGCTCTCTCTGTCCTGGGAATTTTTGTGCTGGGTCTGGTCTCTTCGGACTCAGAGCTCCTCTTGTTTGAAGATGACTCCTGAGAGCCCTTGTCCTCCATCGCTCTCAAGTCTGCCAATCAAATTAGAAAAGATATGTAGGATCAATATTCACACGCCAACGAGGGCTGTCACTGATGATCACTGCACAGAGAGCTATTTGTAATCTATTGTGATTCTGATCTAATTGACTGAGATCTCTCTTGATATATGTCTGAATCACTACTGAAACTTGTGTATGTCATTCGTGCATGTTCGCTCGTGCATGTTCAAGTCCCGTTATGTCGCTTGGCTCGATCGTATCGATCACCAATCGAATCCCTTGATGGGATTGGTTTATCCCAATCTTGGGAGCGACTGAGGTACAAGACCTGGAGCGTGTCGCGCATGTCAGGAGGAAGCGCCCACCGACCTGAGTCTGACGATGACGAGTCCTCGCCTTGTTTCGCCTTGCCTGACTCGGGGATTGAAGCTTCTTCAAGCTCATGCAGGAGCTGTAAACCGACCTCAGAGTCCGCCTCAGCCTTGTCTGCTGGTCTGCTCTGAGCTTCTTGCGCGTGTTCGCGTTGACTTGGGTTTCTCTCCTTCGGCTCATCGGGTTGATCTCCCTGGTCTAGCGATAGCTTGACTAGTGCTTGCGCCTCCTCTCCCTCGATTTGTCTTCTTCTCTTCTTCCTCTGCTCGTCAATTAGTGTATCGGCCTCTCCTTCCTCTGGCTTTCGCTTCTCCTTCTCTTGTCTCTTGCTTGCTGTCAGGCCTGGCGTCAGAGTCGCCTGCTGCTTGTCGTGATCATCCCCTTCATGCCCATGCCCATGCTCAATCCTTTCATGTGCAGACGTCATCATCGCTTGCTCGCTGGCCTCCTCGTCTCGGTGCTTCCTCCTCTCGTCTAGACTATCCGACCCCACCTGCCCTCATACGTCAGACCCTCATACCTCACGGCTACATGTACATCCGGCCCTACCCTAGAAGCCGAAGCCGCAGACGAGCCGCCGCTCGTCAGTCTTCTTGTCTTGTTGCTCTCACCTGCGCATGGCTTAGACGATCGTAGTCTATCGCCTCTACCTTACCTCCCCCTTCCTGCACAAACGCCTCGAAGCTTCTATACCCTCCAGGCCTCTCGCACTCCTCCAGCCCTCGGAAACCCTCTCTCAGCTCCTCGCTCCAGCCCTCCTCGCACTCCCTCCAGTCTGCCCTGTACCCGTCGCTCCTCACGACCCAGCCTGTGCTGCTGATCCACGTCCTCCAGCCCTCCAGCTCGTGTCTGTCGTTCTCTTGCTTGCTGTGATAGTATTGGAGTAGACAATAGTGCAAGAACACGCTGCTCAGCTTGGTCATCTTCAGCATCATGACATAGCTTCCGACCTCCACGGCTTGCTCCAGCACATAGAAGTAGAACAAGACCTCCTGACTATTCTGTTCCATGATTTGCTCTCGAAGATGCTCTTCGATCTTGTCCATCCCGTCCTCCCATGACACCGACGGGTCCAAGCATGGATTGATAACCTCCTCCTGCCATATCTCCAGCGATGCCTCAAGCTCTTCAGCTCTAGACGAGACTCTAGGTAACTCCTTGCTGATCGTGTAGTCCAGGATAGCAATGAGCAGCTTGTCGTCCGACATGCTGCGACCTGTCTGACTTGCCTTCCATGCTTCGAACGACTGCGACGAGATCTTGTTCTTATCCACGTGCTTGCGCAGAAGCTGAACAAGCTCGAAACCTACGAGTTTCTTGTTCACCTTTGAACGGAAATTATCTAAATATCTCTTGGTGGAGAACCTCGTGTCTTCATATTGCAGGAAGTACATCAGCACGATCGAGCACATTCTCCACCGCGGACTATCCGCTCGCTGCTCTCCAAGGAAATACTTCACCGCCTCCATCGTCCTGTCTCTGAAAGACTTGGCGTCTTCAGGGCTGTAAGCCAGCACGTACGTGTCTGCCTTGGACGTGTCTGTGAGGGGAGGATAGCTCGATACGACATCCTTGGCAGCATGCAGTGCAGCTGTACTGCTCCTGATGTCTCTCAGAGCCTCGCCGTCGCTCACCAGGCAGAAGCCTTCCGGAATGTCATCAACGTTCATCGATACACAGGGTTGAAACTCTTTGCATCTCCTCGCACAGTCTAGTAAGACGCTGTCAAGCGGTCTGTTGCAAGCGAACATCCCTGTCTCTGCATCCAGAAGCGACTCAAACAGCTTCGACTCGTCGCTTGCTTTCTTGCCCTTGCCGCATGTCAGCAGCAGAGTCCAATGCTTGGGCAGCGCCTTCACTTCCGGATCTTGCGGCAGACCTTCTGGCACTCCCTCGATCTTTTCCCGACAAGCGTCCATGACCACAAGCACCCTCGGATGATATCCTGATACATCTTGCTCGAAGTCTCTGAAGAACTTGAAAACATCCTTCATTGACAGCATCTTATCACCCATCTCCCGGAATGATAACCCTCTCACTTTCTCCACGTCCGTCGGTACCAACATCTGATCCTTGCTCCTTGCCTCGTAGATGCCATGGCCCGCGTAGAAGAAGATCACCAGCTCCGGACACGCTCGCTTTAGCTCCCTCAGACTCCTCCTGAGGTACCTCTTCATCTCGGACAGACTCTTGGGGTTCGAGCTCAAGACCGAGTGACACTGCGGGAGTGAGCAGAGCTTCTCATGCAGCTCCGTCGCATCCTTCACGGCCCTCGCAAGCGGCTCGAGCTCTCCCTGGTAGTCGTTGAGCCCCATGCACAGCCCGTACACCCGAGGAGGCTCCAGGAAGATCAAGTCTGCCTCGAAGCTCCGCTCCGTCCGACTGTCCTCGAAGCTCTGGGAGCGATACCTCGACTGACCTGACAGAGCGCTAGCAACACATCGAGTCACTTCCATACCTTCCTCTCACGCCCTCCTCCTCTTGTCTACGCTCTTACCTGTTGCGCCTCGAGAAGCTCTCGTCCGCTCTACCTCCCTCTAGAGCAAGCTCCATGACTCGCTTGACTAGCTCCCCAGCACGCTCGTCGTCACCGCCTCCTCCCTCGCCAAGCAAGACGGCTTCATCCGCCTTGCGTGTCTCTTGTCTCGTGCTGCTGTCAGAGCCTCTCCCTCCTCTCCTCTCTATCGCCTTCATCCTAGCACGAGTCAAGCTCCCGCCTGTCGCCCGGCCTGACACAGCCTCGTCCTTGCTACGAGCTCCCCAGCTCTCTGAGGTCATGACGTGCAGGCAGAGCTCGTCATCCGGCCGCTCCTCCTCTCTGAAGCACAGGAGCCGCTCCAGGAGCGAGTCTTGGCCCTCCAGGTCGATGATGCTGATGAGGCGGGTGGTCTTTCGTTGCATGCCGGCCAAGAGCTTGTCTAGCAAGCGCTCGGTCTGAGAGACGGGGCTGCTGCTCCATGCCTGGAGGTCTGAGAAGGTCTTGAGGAGAGAGTCAAACCTCTTCTGCACGTATCCCTGCATGGCAGGCTTGATGCTGCTGCTTGCTCCGTCTCCTTGCTTCCTCTCTGACATGCTGCTGCGCTCCCAACAACTTCCGGTCAAAGGTCAGGGACGCAACGGTCTTATAACGGTATGCAAATTATCAGATGCCTTGTTTCACTTGACTTCCAGTGAGCAAAACGTTTTACAACCTGACATTGTGTTCTCCTGATTCAGCACATTGTAATGATTTGCAACTCAACGGAGCTCTTTTCAAGCACATCGTACGTCATGCCGGGGCAGGGAAGACAAGAGGGAGAGGGAGATGCGAGAGAAGGAGAAGAAGAGACAGAAAGAGAAGCAAGAGAGAAAAGTGAGAGAGCTCGGGTGCGACAACCCCGTCGAGCACAAGCATCGCAAGCTCGCGCGATCTCTGCACAGGGCTCACCAGGACCGCAACCTGCAGCCTGACGCGGAGGAGCGACGGCAGATAGAAACTCTCCTCAAGGCCCCATGGGAGCACAAGGAGCTGCTGTGGCGGTACCGGTTTGCTTTGACCAAGGAGAACAAGGCTCTGACCAAGTGCTTGATCTGCGTGGACTGGAATGACGAGGAGGAGGCGGACCAGGCGGTGGATCTACTGCAGGAGTGGCAGAAGCAGGTGACGATCGACATCAACGACGCGCTGCAGATGCTGTCAGCCGCCTTCACGCACCCCAAGGTGAGGGAGGCAGCGGCGAGGAGAGTGGCGATCGCGGACGACCAGGAGCTGCTCGGCTATCTGCTGCAGCTGGTGCAGGCGCTGCGATACGAGGGAGGAGGAAGGGAGGGGGGCGACAGCCTGCTGAACCTGCTCATCGAACGAGCGAGCAACAACCTGGAGATCGCCAACTACCTCCATTGGTACATCTTCTGCCAGCAGCTGGTGGAGGCGGACGGGAAGGAGGCGCGGGGGCGGCAGAAGCACTATGAGCGAGCGCAGAGGAAGCTGATGAACAAGCTTGAGAGCACGGAGAAGGGGAGGTCGATCATCACGGTGCTAGAGCAGCAGCACGACCTTGTTACCTTCCTGACGAAGCTCGCGCAAGAGATCAAGAACATGAGAGACAGCAGGCAGAGGAAGGTAGAACGACTCAAGTCAGCCCTGGCCTCGACCCACTCGATGATCTTCGGGTCTGCCGGAGGGTCAGCGGGA